TCCCTTCAGAGCACTTCTAGAATGAGTAATCCACACTGAAGGCTTTCCCCTGATCATATCCCAGGGGTTCCTCAAATTATCAGTGTGTTCTGGTCCACTGCTTCTGACTGAGGTCACCTTCCAGGAGCCAGATCAATGGCAGAATACCTCACCTGACCTCACTGCAATGGTTAAGACTGTTGACTGTTCTTTGCTCTATAAAACTCTTGGTCCTGAGATAGCAGTCATTCTCTGTTGGTTCTCTTCCTATTTCTGTTTCCTCTCAGTCTCCTTCTTTGGTTCCCCTTTTCCCACTCTTACAAACCTCAGCCTGACACTTGCCTCTACTTTCTCTCTCTTGTGTAGTTCATGACTCTCATGCACATTGATTTTAAAACCAACGTGTATGTTGATAATTCTCAAGTTTGTGTTTGGCTAGTACCTCCCACGAATTCCAAAGCCAGGCAACCAGCTGCTTTCTGCACATATTTATTTACCTGTAATCATACAGATACAGATATGTATTTCAAACTGAATTCACCTTTCTTAACCACTGCCAACAGAGATGAATGACCTTCCAAAAAACCTGTGCTCATGAAATCTAGGCATTGTCCCCAAATATACCACTCACTTCTACTATTTTTTTAAATTGATTTGAGAGGGAGAGAGACATTGATTTGTTATTCCACTTACTTATACATTCATTGATTGCTTGTGTGTGCCCTAACCAGAGATCGAACCCACAATTTGGCATATTGGGATGACACTCTAACCCACTGAAATAACCAGCCAGAGTCTCATTTCTACTTTTACTAGTTCCTCTCTACTTGCCTAAGTCTTAACCTTCATTCCTTTAAGCCAGCAGTTCTCAACCTGTGGGTCCTGACCATTGGTTTAATATAGTTCATGTTGTGGTGACCCCAACCATAAAATTATTTTCATTGCTACTTCATAACTGTAATTTTGCTACTGTTATGAATCGTAATGTAAATATCTGATATGCTATCTGTGTTTTCCGATGGTCACGACCCACAGGTTGAGAACTGCTGCAAGTTTAAGCCCTAGCTCAAGTGTTACCTCTTTTACAAAGCAGCTCAATCTCACTGCTTATCTCTTTATCCCAAATCATCCATTTTCTATTTGTTATGATTAAATGCACTGTGAACAAATTAAGAGAGTTGTTTATAATCCCACAACTGGGCACAGTAAATTTGGGTAACCAAGTTGAAAACTCCTTTATGTTTTAAGTTTCTCCATGAGAAATAAGAAGATGCATGTACTTTAAGAGTTCTTGACCAATCAAGAAAGATAAATGCTCTATATGCCAAATGATGCACAGGACACTGTAGCAAGCATCCCTCAGAGGGTTTTAAGAAGGAACAACTCAGCACTACGCGTTTGTGGCCATGCTGAATCTCTTGAACATTTCTTAAACACCCACACCTCATGTTGTTTCTCCTGCCTAAAATGTCCCTCTTATACACTCTTATTTTCTTGTAGGTTGAACATCCTCAACCTTAATGTTAGCTCCTTAGAAGCTTTCAACTCTCTCTAGACTCCCCACGAATTGATTTCTTCCTCCTCTGTTCCCTGGGGACCACTTTGTTCTCACTATTATAGCACTTATCAAATCATAGTGCAATTGGTTCGTTTTACATCTGAGTTCCTGAAAGCCTCTCAAGTAAAGGAGGGCAGGGCCTGCATCATATTCATTTTTGGGCTATTAATTTGAGTACAGTGTGAACAGTGTATGCTGCTGAGTGCTCAACAAAAACCCAAAGAGGGAGGTGCTATTTATTAGTTGCAATTTATGGAAGAAACAGATTTATTAACTACTAATAAACGATTGTCCCCTTAGCACCTTTGACATAAATATTTGTTTAAAGATTAAATAAAATATATCTGTTTGAGGTAACATAGCGAATAGCAGAACAGAAACTCAAACCCAGATCTGACTCCAAATCCCACGTTCTCACTATCCCTAGAAATCCTTCCCAGCATCAGGAAAAGAGACAAAGCCCCTCCAAGCAACTAGCAGAAGCACTGTTCTTATCCCTTGCCTTCTCTTTAAGAGGCGAAATAATTCCTGCTCAGACACTCCATTTCGAACATTGTAACCACTTTTCCAATCACTCTTGAGTCACTTGAGGTTTCCCCCATAGCCATTAGAATGTGAAAGCTCGGCTGGTAATCGCATTTACTGATGCTAACTAACTAGAGTAGAAGTTGAAGGCACTTGATAAGAAGTCATTGGCCCAGCGCTAGCCGGTTTTGCTCAGTAGTAAGAACGTCGGACCGAAGGGTCTCGGGTTTGATTCCCATCCAAGGACACTGTACCTGGGTTGCCGGCTAGATCCCTGGCCCAGTTGGTTGCATGTGGGAGGCAACCTATCGATGTTTCTCTTTTTTCTCCCCACCTCCACTCCCTCTAAAAAAAAATAAATAAACAAAAAAAAACAATGGGAAAAAATAATCCTTGGGTGAGGATAAAAAAAAAGGCCTAGAAGAAAAAAAGTGGACACTGACTTAGGCTTTATATAAATGTGTACCTATTTTTTCAAGGCTGTCCCATTCAAATTATAAAAGATAACAGAGTTTTGTTCTGAAACTCCCAAAGCCAAAATTCTAAAAATACAAAGTCTGGGCATTTTCACCCTCATATAGCTTGGATAATTTTTTTTTAAAGTTCTCTTTAAAACAATAATGCTTTGGTGTACTTCTTTTCCTAACAACAGCAACAAAAAGTGAATGCTAGAAGGGAAAAACCCTGCATGGGAAAAGCATACAATTTCACACCAATCTAAAATTAATGGTTGTCAAATATTTTTCAAAGGGCCATAGAACAGGTTCTTCGCAATCAGGCAATTTCATTGTTGACGCTAAATCTAAAATTTAGACCAGGACCCTAGAAAAGCTCAATACCCAAGGAAGTTGCTATGCTCAGATTTATATTCAAAGTTTCTACATCCCGATTTATAATATGTATGTGCGTTTGCCTAAAAACACTTAGATGCTTGCTACTAACAAGCTCTTACAGCTTTTCGGTAGGGCACTGGTTGGTGAGCGTAACTGTGCTGATGTGGGTACAGTGATAGTTTAGATATTGCTATGGGCAGTTTACTTGGTAATGTTTCTTAAAGACTCCACCATGGTCTTACAAATCACAGGGCAGCAAAAAAGGGGTAATGACTCAGGGCAAAACCAGACCAGCGGTTGCTCTACGGAACACGCAGGGTGTGTTGGTGCGCTCAGCCACTTCTCTCCCTATATGGGTGAAGGAAACTGCCTCTAGAGCTGATTAATGCATGGGCATGAAGAACATTTCACAGTACCTTAATAATCCAGCATTTATAGCAGAGAGTCTTTCTTCCCGGGTACTCAGGTTTAACATTCCTGCACAGCATTAGCTAATTCCAATGTTGACAACTACAAGTATTACAAACTTTTGATTGAAGGGGTTCAGCATATCTTTGATTAATATAAATTGGTTCTAACACTACATCTAACCTAGCCTCTTTCCACTGCACAATGACTGAGCAACTCAATTACTAATGGTTTGGGTGACTCCATTAAAAAAGTATATTTCTACAATGTTCATCATATTCATTAGATTTACAAGACAAATACAAGTGGCATATTGAAACACTTAATTGAATTAGACATCACTATCCTAAATATGTTAGATCTTAGTGCACTTACCTTTTGTGCATTTTGCCCATCTTCAGTGGCAAAATCTAGTCTGGGCTGCCTGGGATTGATCAGGTCTTTTAGTGTTAAACAATTCACTTCCATCTGCAATGCACAATTACATTAGAAACGATCTTACAATTAGATGCTTTCTCCTCCAACAAAAATATCTATTCCACCCCCAACTCTCTAAAACGAACACGAATGAATACAAACACCCATTAGTAATTGAAAACTTGGGAAGAAAAAGTCGACAAAAGTAGTAATTTTTTTATGGAAAGCCACAGAGCAAAGTAAAGTTACAAGTCAGGAAGGTGTAGGGCAAATCTGCAGAAAGTACAGGGTCTCCTCAGGTCAGTTAATTTTGGCGCAAAGAATGGGGGGGGGGGGGGGGAGGAAACCTGATCGCTAGACCAAATCCATTCTGCGCTTGGCGCAGCCCCTTTCCAGGCTCCCAAACAGACCCCAGGGATAAACTCTTCCAACGTGACCCTCAAATAGCGAGGAAAGGCAAGAGCCCGGTACTGACCGGCTGGCGGAGCAGCTAGACAGGACAGCCCACGCGGGCCTGGTCCTGCGGCACACGTTCCTCTATGCCCCGCCAGCCGAGGAGGGGAGGGGTGGCAGGCTGGCAGCCGAGGCGTGAGGTTCCCTCGCCCTCCGATTCCCGCCAGCCCCACTTACTACTCCCGCTTTGCGAAGGGTTCCAGCCTCTACGGGACCTCTGAGGCCTCACGCCCCCGTGGGATCAGCGGGGTGATGCGATCAGCAGCCGGGTGGCAACATCGGGCGGGGAAGGCGAAACGCGCAGACCCCCGTTCGAACGCCCTCGGCTGGCGGAGCCTCCGCGGCGTCCGGACAGCGCCAGCGTCCCGCCCCGC